CCCTCTAGGTGGCTCTCTGGGGCTGTATAGATAAACTGTTGAGAAATGTGTGCTCTTCCTACCTTTATTTTGCCTCTGCTCTCCGTGGGGCTTTGAACGTCATTTTAAGTAATTACACTATGAAGCCCATAAATATATCACATCAGCTATACAAATTTGAAAAAGGAAATAACAAAGCAAATTAGAACAAATGTTCATTTATTACATGCCTGTAAACTTGGGGGAAAAGGGAAAGAGGTAAGTGAACCTGTAATTACATTGTACTGTGACTGGGTCTAGTAAGTAAAGAAAGTTTATTAGATTTCTATAATGCATTTCATTTTCTAGAATCTAATCATATGTACTCACTGTGAGATATTTTCTTGAACATAGGAGTAGTAATTTATCTGTATTTTTAATGGTCCATAGAAAACATGGTTTTCAAAGAGTGGAAATAAGTACTTCTATACTTATGATGGTGCTATAGTTACTAGAAAAAAGGACTTTTGGGGTTTACCAGTATATGTACTTTTCAGTCCTCTCTTTTTCTCCCTAACATTGCATGTGCTTGCACCACTATAGCAGAAGAATTCAGGACTGCCTGGGTATTTTTATCTCTTACTCTGACAGCTCTTCATTCCTTAATATGCTTTCTTCCCTTGACATCTGTAGAAGGACCCCTGGTTTTTTTTCTTCCTCTGCTAATCATTCCTTGTTGTTGTGAGTACCTCTTAAATATTGGTGTCTTAAATAGACTTTGGTACTTGACTCTCTTCCTACTTTGTATGTGTGGTTTTTTAATTTTACGCAACAGTCTTCAGTATTTTTCTTAAAAAATTGAAAAGAGAAAGAAGTGCAAGGCATTTCAGTTTGTTTACTGCATTATAAAGTGTTTTATATAAACCAAAAGATTTTAAGAAAGACTGTGTGGCTATAGAGAAAACAATGTTAAAGGAAATGCAAAGGAAGGAAATTTCTCATAAATCATGGAACGTACCAGCCTGTTAGCTTGCTTCCTAGTGTTTCTCAGAAGATGGAATGCAAACCAGAATGGCTGTTCTGTTCAGATTGATTGTAAAATCAGACAAAAGAAACCTGACACTTCAGAATCTATCACACAAAACCAATATGGAAGAAATGAAAACTTTAAAATTAAATTTAAGTATCTGGATATATAGAAAGTTCAAGTGTTTTTGACAAGTATAACAGGTGTTAAGTTGGTGAAGTTGGTTATTTTTTCTAAGCTGCAGCTTTACGATGTAGACGAATCTAATCAGTCCAATTGTTCTCTAAGGGAAGAAGTTAGCGTCAGTTGGAACAGTTGTAAACAAGACTCTACTGGGCCCTAATATTATCTAGTAACACATCTTTTGAATTAAAGTGTCGGTAGGTTTAGATGGTCAGTTTAAAACGATTTTTAAAAGATGGGTAGTGGGATGTGACCTGACCTATAAAAATATGAGTGAGCAAAGAAGTGACTGAATACACACTTCAGGTATAAATTAACTTAAGTATCTAAGACTTAAGGACAAAGCCCTCATTCACCTAGAATATTCAATCCAGAAATGTGGAGGCTGTATCTAGTGAGCTGAGATTAGTGTCTCGGGCATATTGCTGCTCAGTTACCTCTCTATATGGCAACTGGTAGAGTGAGGATTTATATCAGAAATCTTAGAATTATCTTTGTATACTATTAAGTTTTACAAATTTATCTGCAATCCGCTTATTCCTCCCATTACTGCTCCTTCCAGGAATCTGGACACTCTCCTTTGGTGGTCTGAGGAATCTTTTCAACATATTTTTTAAGAAAAGGAAATTTTGCTTTGAGCATCAAAATACATACATGGTTCTGCCATATTTATTAAATTGCTCTGAAGTATTTGATGCTTGGTTGAAGGTAGAAGTTATCCACATTGGTTGGAGGGGAGTTATCTTCAGAAGTCTTTTTTGTGAATCACTCTTCTTGAGAAGTCCTTTTTGGGATTTATCCAGGTGTTCAAGAAATTGTTTGAAAACTTTTACCTAAGGGCCTAGATTGGTCTTCTCACAGCCTCTAGTTCTGTTTGATAGCGGATTCAGCCTTGTTCTCTTTTCTTCTTCCATAGTGGAAATGGCATCTAACTCATGGCTCATGGGCCTTACCATTGGAACAGTAACTGGATCAAATTGATCCACTTTCTGTAAATCAATAGGCACTGAAATTTGACCTGTTTTAGGATGAACACTAAAAGGGCTTCTTAGCAAATGATTGATTCCTTTGCTAACGTTGATATCCAGCCATGGAAAATAGTACTGGAACATGATCTCCTACTCAAGCCAGGGTCCACATTTGTCATTTTTTGTGTCATTTGAATATCTGGCTACTTTCTTCAAAGCTCCCAATGCTGAAGTGAACTGTGATGCTTTTGGAAGCTTTGTTGGTCATCATAAATTGTTTCAGGAACAAGAGCTTAAAATCTTATCACAGCTTTATTTCCAGGAATATCTTGATCAACCAAGGCATATTCTTCAAAGTATTTATTTTTTATGTTTATAGATTTTCTGACAAAAGGGTGAATTTTTTCTCTTAGGTGAACTTTTTTTTTTTTTTTTAACATCTTGACCACCCTTTACAAGACTCAAGTTCTCAACTATACCAGACTGTACTGCAGAGGACAGTTTTCTAATAATTCATCACAGACCCAACAATGAACACCTCTTCTTCCAGAACATACCTGGAGGCAATGCTTAAATTCATAGTCCTCCTTCAGTGCCCAGTCGATGATGCAATGGCCATCATCATGAGGGGCCAGCCCTTGGAATATATGTTCTGCAGAACTATAACATCTCACATCATCAAAGTCTGTTATCTTAGTGACAACACCAGTTGCTTTTCTTGATCCTGGAACGCTCCCAACTTCACTTTATTGTGTTGATTGGGTCTGTGGGAATATATCACACCTGTCTATGTCAATCTTGTATGGATTCATTCTCCGCATCTCCTTTTCCAGATCACTCTGGTTGTTGAAGGATTGGTAGCAAATGTAAATATCATCTTTCTGTGTGAATGAAAATTGGCAGTATTGAGAGTAATTCTTTATCACTCCGCCATAGTTGAGCCAGCGATAGTACTAAGCAAAGAGAAAGAGCCTTTGGTAATAAAGCTTAAGTAGCTCAGCAGGGTCAGATGCCTTCATGGAACTCGGTACTCGGGCCCAGCGAGATAACCGCCAGAATTGCCGGGAACTGCACAGGAGCTTCTACTTTGTGTTCTTTATGGACAGTTAAATTTATGTCAGAGTTGCAGCTACCATTTATGTGCCAGTGGTTTCCAAGTCCTTGTCTCTAGCCCATTCCTCTCTTCAGCTCCAAACCAAATCATCTGCCTGCTGTGGCAGGCCTAGAGTAAACATCTATAGAATGTATGAATGTTTAGAGCCTAACCCAACATCTCTTCCCTCTCCAACCCCCATCCCCAAACCAGCCTGTCCTCTCTGCTTTCTTTTTGAAACAGCTTTCTAGTATCCAAATTTGACTTAAATGTCTTTGACTCATTCTACTTTTTTTCCCTTGACATTTACTCCATAATTACCAGTTCCTATCCAGATTTGGGGAAAGGACTGACTTTGGTGCACTGCCCCCATCCTCCAAACCTGCTTTGATTGCATTTCATTTAGGCTTCTAATTTAGACCTAATCACAGTGCAGTGTAATTACAAGTTTACTTTTCTGTCTTCCCCCCCCCCC